AATCCCTCTTAATACTGTGGTGTAAGCTTCAAGGTATGAAAAATATAAAAATATAGATGGAAACGTTTCTAAAAAAATATCTACATTTTCATATTTACATATTGTATAATAAATTATGATGTTAAGAAGGCATTATTGATTAAAGCTTTTTTAATGAAACTTTTTTATTTAAGGGAAAAAGTGAGATTTAAAGTATTTTTTTTCTATACGATGTAATTATTCTTAAATGGAATACATGCGTAATCCATTTATAGAGTGGCATGTCCGATGTACCTTTGAAACCTTCATTTCTCCATCGTTTCTGAAGCAAGAAATGCGCGAGTCACTTTGTATAGAAATCACAAATAAAAATAATCAGTTTTCAAAATGGGAAACATGGATTTTTAATGCAAAACTTGATCAGACAAAGCTTTGAAGGGTATTGTTGTGATACAGAATATGTTTAAATTCTTTTCTTAATCTTTCAGTTTTGGTGAGTGGCCCCTCGGACAGTGGCGTACGTAGGGGGGGCCGGGTACAAATATTTATGTTCAATTGTGTTTCAGAGCAAATATTTGTTTTATAAAGATATATTTATTTAAAAATTCTGAAATATGTAAGGGCTAAAATGTGATTTAAATTATGTAACAATTCATAAATTGTATTCGAGAAAGACGACATTTAAGTCAAACGTCTATTTTAACACGGTATCTTGGCTCCCTTTTTAGAAGTACCAAAGTTCTCCGCTAGGTGTCTCGCTAAAGTCTAAAGTAATTCCCATTTTACCCGTTTATATTGATAGAGAAATGATAAACTAAATTATTTATGGAAGGATTTTATAAATCGAGCTTTTACAAATAGTTTTTTATTAAAATTATTCAATAGTTTTAAAAAAAGCGCAGACATTTGAACCTGTGATAGTACATATTCAACTTAAACACTTTCATCTTCGTAATTTATTCTCTTATCATTGTATCGTGCAAGGTTAGTCTACGGACAGACCATTAAATATAAGGGCTAAGATGTGACTTAAAATATGTAACAATTCATAAATTGTATTTGAGAAAGACAACATTTGTGTCAAACGTCAATTTCTAACACGGTATCTTGGCTCCCTTTTTCTAGAAGTACCAAAGTTCTCCGCTAGGTGTCTCGCTAAAGTCTAAAGTACTTCACATTTTACCCGTTTATATTGATAGAGAAATGATAAAATAAATTATTTAAGGAAGGATTTTATAAATCGGGCTTTTACAAATAGTTTTATAGTCAAATTATTCAATAGTTTTAAAAAATTGCAGGCATTTGAAGCTGTGATAGTACAGGTAGTCAACTTAAACACTTTTCTCATCGTAATTTATTCTCTTATCATTGTATCGTGCAAGGTTAGTCTACGGACAGACCATTACCAGATGATTTGCCTAATAAGTGGCTGCCTACAATCATTTAATATTATGTATTGTTTAGAAGTGTAGAGGCAATTGCTCGGCAATCCAAAAATACTCTAAATTTAGCAATCAGCTTTCTAAATAAACATGTGAGCATTTTCTTAATGACTATTATTATTATTATTGTTGTTGTTATTATTATTATTATTATTATTGTTATTGTTGTTGTTGTTGTTGTTGTTGTTGTTGTTGTATCTTCTTCCGATGCTTTTGTTGGAGGTGGATCTGTCTTCACTCGATCTCTTTGAGTTAGAAGGATGGATTTATAATAAGTTGTAGCACTTTGACTTTCGAAGGAGTCATCGATATCATTTTCAGAACTAATGGTTGTAATATCGTTTTCACTTTCAGGATCAGTGACTGTTGCCTCATCATTGTTATTTGTGTCATTGTTAGTGTCTTTAATGGTATCACTTTCCATATCGGACTCAACAACGTTTTCAGAGTCTTTTTCAACAACTCCTATAGAATTAGCATCAACTACTATGCTAGTCTTTGGAACTATTGTAACAGATTCACTTGAGTCAACCAAGTTGTTTCCATCTTCATCGAGATCTGTTTTAATCTCATTTTCAGCCGGCAGTACAGTTATAGGAGGAGAACTAACGTCAGTCCAGTATGTTCTAAACAAAATTTTATTTTTAAGATAAATTGGCTGGATTAACTTTTATTTTTTAAATATCCTGGGACCGAATTTTTTTAATTTGAGGGGTCGCTAAACTGCATCCCGCCGGTTCAAATTTGAATCAATGATTCAAATTCTTTCTGATTCTTTAACTTTAATTACCCTTCAACCAGAAGGGTTTTAGATAATTTTATGCTTTGGAAAATATTAAGAAATATGAATTCAAATGTTAACAATATCGAAATGGCACGCCAATTATTTANATTATTATTATATAGTTGCACTATGCTGGAGAGCCTGTAGCTGCTGTGGATACTGGAGTATCTGACTTGACCTCAGCTCATGATATTGACCTTAATCTTCACTCGTCAAACTGCTGCAGGTCAACTCAATATGCATGTCTTTTAATAAGAAGTAATCTCTGTTTGTCTCAGGGTTAAAACTTTAATTTAATACATTTAGATTGTTTCATGAAAACAAACCTTTATTTTTCCTTTAAGTAAAATGTGGCTAAATCTTAAATATTTAAATATAAAATATGTGGCTAAATCTTAAATATTTAGGTATAAAATATGTGGCTAAATCTTAAATATTTAAATATAAAATTGTTGCAGTAAGTTGGCGTCGCAAGCAAAACTTTTTTACTACATATCTGCAATTTTTAGTACCCCCCCTTCTCCTCCCTTTCCCTTCTTCTTTTTCATTCTTATTTGATCTAAAACACATTTTTGTAAAGCTCTTGAAAAATGGACATGATCGAGTTGTAATTTTTACTTTTTAAAACTTTAAAACTTTAGCACTCAACTCCCCTAACCATTAAGTTAGAGTTCTATTTTTTTTCTCAACGAGCTGGGCTATTAACGTTTATTCGGTTAAACTTTTAGACATAAAGAAAAAATAAGCTGGACGGGGGACATGAGTTTTGCGTCTAAAACAACGCAAACATTAAAAATTAAAATTTAATCTATTTCCCTCAAAAAATCCAAAGAGATAAAAAATATTTTTTCATTTCTTCATATTTACATTTAGATTATCCCTGTTATCTCTTCTGTAACTTAATCTTAATTTTGTTTAAAACTTTTCTTATATAAAAACATACTTTATACTTTTAATCTTAATTGTAATATCTCTTCCCCGGGAATTCTGATCAACAATTACATAAACAAGCATTTTGAAATGTTTAAAGGTCGACCGTAGACGTTATTTCAAGTAATGATTCGTAGAGTGGCATGTCCGACTTACAACGGTACCTTTTAAATCTGATTAAGGCGGATGGCGGAGCCTTAATTTATACGCAGAAACACATGTCATGCTCTTTTATAGTTTACAAGTCAGAGAAAATAAATATTTTAATTCAAAATCATAAAAATTGCTTTGTCGTCAGCTTTAAACACTTTTTTACGGAAAACTTTGGACTCCAACATTTTTTATTTAAAAAATATTGAATGTCCCAAAAAGTTTCTTTTTTAAAAAGCTGATCAAGAAACCAAAATAATCATTTTGATCAGTGGAAATTATTTTTTTTTTGTTAAAAATAAGTTTAATATTTAGAACCTGCCTGGAAGTTCGACATCAAGCAAACAAATTCGCAGCCAGGACTTTGTAAAATTTTGGTAAAAAATATAAAAAATAAAAAATATCCAAAATATGGATTTAGATTTGATAAGAAATAGTAATAATGATGTTAATGTTATCAATGTAGATAAACGAAATAATGATGATAATTATCATTCATAATCATGTATCTATACAAATAATAATATTAAATAGAGTAGTTAAACAAGAAATAACTATGAAAATAACAGCTTTGATTACTGAACTTCAAAATTATTTCAAAGTTTATATAATCTTTAAACTCAAAATTTTCAGGTTTCAAGAGTAAGTCATTTGGTGAGACGAAAGTTCTTTTCAACTGCAGAAATTAACAACCAGAAATATTTTAAGTCAGATTTTCAAAGCATTGTCTGTTTGACTAACCATGATAAAAAACATTTGTGTCAAAAATTAAAAACTGTATTATGAAAAGTTTCATGAGTGTCATGAATTGAAAAAAATTATGATCGAAGAACTGTATTATGAATTAAAAACAATATAATTGAAAAACTGCATCATGATTTAATAAAAGCAATATGATCGAAAAACTACATCACGATTTAAACAATGATTAAAAAACTATATCATGATTTAAACTATATGATTGAAAAACTACATCATGATTTAAACTATATGATTGAAAAACTGCAGCATGATTTAAAAATACAAAAATGATTGAAAAACTACATCATAATTTAAACAATGATTGAAAAACTGTCTCAAGATTTTTTAAGATGATTTTTTATTTAAACTGTCATTGAATTATTTCTGGGAATTTTTTAAAATTATTTTGGATTAAGCTAACAATTGTAATTCTTAATACAGAGATGTGAATATAGTTTAAATAAACCTTTTTGTCTTTATGTATTTAAACTGTTTGTGACACAGCTTACGTTTACAATCCCAATACAATTTTATTATTTTATTATATTTATTTATTTACGTTGTAAATTGTACCAAAGAATATGATTATGTAATGAATGAAAACCATTTAAATAAAAATTAGTTAAATATTATATCTGTACTAAAATCCTAAAGATTTTTCGGGATGGGAGGAGGGGGGGGGGGTATTATCGTTGAAATCTGATAGATATGGAAAGACGTCTTTTTTCTTTTTTTAGGCTTAAAACTTAAATTTAATACCTTTAGATTATTTCGTGAACACAAACCTTTCTTTTCCTTTAAATAAAAAGTCAATAAATCTTAAATATTTTTAATATCAAATTTTGCAGTAAGTTCACGTCGCAAGCAAAATTTGTTTACTACATATCTGCAATTTTTGTTACTCCCCCCCTCCCTTTCCCTTCTCCTTTTTTTGGTGAATGTTCAAGAGACTGACCGACATATGGTCGGAATGACCGTTGGTTTATCTGAACAGTAGGATCCGAACCATGGGACAATCAGGACTTGTTTTAGCTGTTGTACTGTATTCCACTCTAGGGTTAACGTACAGTAAACCTTACCATCAGGTAACTTACATTTAAGAGCAAACAAAGGAATTCATCTCAAAAATTTGAATTATTTTCAAATTTAATAGGCTTTAACTTATAACTTATAATCTATAAAATGAAAAAAAAAACTATGAACTGTCCAAACATTTATGACAATTTAAAATTTTTTATTACAAGGATACAATCATGATCAAAATTGTTGCATAAAAAAATAGAATTTAAAAACAAGAAAGATGAACTTTTACTTTATTCGATTAGTCATCGATTGATTTTCGACGCATTCGTAAATAGGTGATATTTCATTATATTTTGTATTTTTCATGATCTGAGAGTTACTTTTGAAAACATTTATTCCTGTTTCGAGGATTTTTGATAATGAAGACGACATTTTCATATTTTCCAGGAATGAATTCGAAAATTATTAAAAAAAAACAAAATTAAAAATATTATGAAATATCAACAATATACGAATGCGTCGAAAAATAATCGATGAGTACTGTTTGTAAAATCTGAATGATTTGTTTGGAATTAAATTTATTTGTTTACGATCCGAGATCTTTTCGAATTTGTATGGACACTATACGTTCTTCGGCGTGAGTCGTTTTTAACAATTTTCTCCTTATAGACGCAACAGATAGAAGTAAGATTAGTAGCGATCAAAAGCGCTTTTTATCACATTAAGCCTATACCCCCTTTCATTTTTCGCGAACACTCCCTTTAAAAAGACTTTATTTGAAGAATCGGATCAAATTTTTCCTTTTAACCGTCATTAAAGTATCATCCTATGTGGGTAATCCTGTATCTAAATTCTTCGCCCTTGCATATGTTTTATGTTTCCCGCATTTACACCAGAAACAAAATTGACACTTCAAATTTTTTTCTTCTTCACTTTTCAAGTGGGCGTACACGGTCCAATACTCGCAAAGGATGGGACCTAAGAGTACGTCACAAGTTTTAATTATAGAATTTAGGTTCCGTGGTCAAGGAACTTTACTTTCATATATTTATATTAATTTATAAGTTGGTATACTAATTTATAAATTCTTTTCCAGTCATTAATAAGAATTTAAAAGAGTAATTTTTAGATTCTTTAAATCGTGGTGTCTATAATTATAGATCGTTATAAATTATTAAATTATGTGAAAAAGTAAAACACTCGCCGTAAATTTTAAATCTTTGAAATTAAAGTCGTAGATCAATGATTCTTCAAACCATGAATTCTGTTAAAAAAGTCTAAATTTGAAATATTTTTCAATGATTGATTTTTTATACTTTTCAGAGATCCTGGTTCCATGAGCGGAATGTTCCCTCCTATAGCCATCAATCTTCGTCTTTTTCACATAAATTTCCTTTCGGGAGAAACTTTCCGTTTGGTCCAAACATTTCTCCTTTTGGAAACAATTTCCCTTTCGGTCCAACAAGAACCACCTCATCATCCACTTCTTATATAAAACATCCTACTGCACCTACTGAACATTACAGATCAAGCTTTACTCTTCCTCCCTCCCAGATACACCATCCCAACCCCTTCCTGCACAGAAGCTTGGGACATCAATCATTCTCACCCTTCCAGAACTTCCATAGGGACATTTTCGGTCTTCACAATAGACTTATTCAGCAGTTGGACCGGATACTAGTTGGAGCAGATGATTTGGAAGATGAAGATCAGGTTCAAGCTGATCATCTTCTTCTACCTGGAGGATTTTCAATCAGGATCCTAGAAGCTAAAGAAGCAACCTCGTCCCAGGAGGAGGAGAAGGAAGAGGATGAACTTGTTAAGCTGACGAAGGAGGTGGAGGAGGAAGTGAAGCAGATCAATGACAGGGTTCGAGGGGTGGCGGAGCACATGAAGAACCTCTTCACTTCAGAGACTGGAATTATCTCGACCTTGGCAAAACTATTCGATCTAGAAGTAGATAAAACATCAAATGAGAACTCATTTGATAATTCTGATGATGAAGATAAATCTGATGATGATGAATCTGATGACGAAGATGAATCTGATGATGAGAATGAATCTGATGACGAGGATGAATCTGATGGCGAGGATGAATCTGATGATGAGGATAATGATTCTAATGCTGTATATGAATCTAATAATAGCAAGGATTCCTCTCATGATGAATTTTTCAATAATATAAGGGAAGGTTCTGATGAGAACATGGAATCTGAAGATCAAAATGAGGACTTCAACAATGATCTGACAAGTAATGATGACACAACAATTGACGAAGAATTACATTATTATAATTCAGATGATGCCTTATATAAGGATGATCCCACCTATCATCCAAATTACGATATGTTCTATGAAAATAATAATCCATTAGAAGAGACTTTAGAAGAATATATAGAAGCTTCAAATTACAATGAAGGAAACATAACCTCTGATGACCAAAATGTTGCTAATGAAGATACCCATGAAGATTATGTTGCTACTGAAGATACCCATGAAGATCTTGTTGCTACTGAAGATACCCATGAAGATCATGTTGCTACTGAAGATACCCATGAAGATCATGTTGCTACTGAAACCGTAAATATTGTTTCTAATAATCAAGACATACCTGATGAAATAACAAATGATGTTACTACTGAGACTGAACCAGCACTTAGAGATACAGATGAAAGAGAAAATGAAGAACACATCTCAAACAATGAAGAAAAGCAAGATTTGCACCAAGACTCTGAAATGAGTGAAGGTTTGATGAAGAAACGAATTGAAGAAGTTCTTACAAGGGTTTATGAGACTGACGTCGATGAATCAATTAATGAAGTTGAAATTGATCAAATGATTGAAGATGATGATAAAACTTTAGATAGTTTCATTGCTCCCAGAGAAACGGCATCTTCTCCCTTGGAACAAGATGAATTTGAAGCAAAGTTCATGAAAACTCTAGGAGACACTGATATCCCAGAAGTATTTGTCCAAGAGAAGGAAGCAGGTCACAAAAACGATCCTGAAACGATTGTAAATTCAGATAAAGCAGAATTCAGCTTACCAGTAGAAAAGGATCATTATCAAACTAACTTTGCAGAAACAACTAAAGATTCCAAGCCTGAAGAAGAAATATTCAAAAAGAGCGATGGGTCTGAAATCATTGATGGTCCTGATATGCCCAAATTGGATAGCATTGAACAACCTGAAGACCTGGACTTTAATTCTGTACTTGATAAATCTGAATCTGTTCCTGAAATTGAGATAAATGAGGATTCAGCGGATAAACTAAAGAAAGAAAACGAAATTGACATAAATGAATCTGTGAAAGAGGTTGAGGAGATTATCCAAGTGCTGGAAGAACTAGCGGGAATGGGTAGTCCTGAGACCCGACTCTTCTCTCAAGACCCAACCTCGGAAATTATTTCCAAACTAAAGCTGATAAAATCTACCGATGAGAAAACTGTTGAGACTCTGCCTACTCCTGCAGCTCGTACCTTCAGCAAACTAGGAGAAAATGACGATCTTTTCTACAAAATCTAAGATTATATTAAATCTAATGTTTTTGAATTTTGAAACTGAATTTTTTTTGTTGTTTTTGGAATAAATTTACTCATTTCTTGTAATTGAACTTTTTTAGAGAAAGAATAAGGTTTCCAAATTGTTGCTAAAATTTAGAAATGATAAGATAAGTAATGGAGGGGTCGATTTTGGCGAAAATTTCCACATTAACTGTTTATTATATTTTAGCAAACTTTTCTAGTAACAATTAAATCTGCTTACGATATTTTCGCAGATTTTTCTTTTTAAATTTTATTTTCATCCTTTTTTACAGTATTGAAAAAGAATACCGTTTACTCAATATTCACATTTTGTTAATATATATATCATACAACAAAATACGATAAGATAAAAATGAATGATGTAAAAAAAGTTAATATTTATTAAAAAAATATACAGAGCAAATTTTTCTTAAATATTTTGTATATTTTCTGGGCGAATACATACTATTAAATATTCAATATTACAACAGAAATCTATGCCTCGGACTTGAAGAGAATAAGTTTACGGTTCCATTTTGTTTCTCCAAAAGAGTTAATTTCCCGCAGATTGTGTTCTCTACAATATCTTCTATATTTAAAAAAGGAGAGAACATAAAGAAAAACTGGTTAAATCTGATTTAGGTCGGACGGGGTCGGGGTCAAAAGAATATTGAGAGAACTTGGCCGAAACACACGCTGTTTTTGTTTTGTACAATGAAACGATTTGTTTATTTCCAACCTTGATCGTAAGTCGTAACCAATAACCATATGAATGTTTTTTAAAAATGCAAATATTAAAAAAAAACAGTTTTATTACATTCCCCCCCCCCCCCTCCATGATTTTGCATTAATTCTGACATCCAAGCTTGAGAAAACCTTGAAAATATTTCCAAAAACTAAAAAGTATTAATATTCAAAAAAAAGTGAGAAGTATTCCTTGCTAGGTTCAGTACTCCGGGTTCCAGTTTATCTCCTCTCAGTTCTAATCCTTCAAGATAAGGAAACTTTTCCAAACCCAGCTTCCGCATTCGTCTGATAATGATTAACGATTAAATAACATAACAATATTATACAATGGGACTCATAAAACTGTGAAATGAGTGACGACTTTTAGAGCCAAAAAACATAAAAAAAACAGCATTGGAGAACTGAGCAGTGTACATAGACTTGGATAACCTGCTGGTAAAACTTTTTGGTTCATAAATTGCTTAAATGTCGTCTTACTTTTTCACATTTGTGTGAGTCCCACTGAAGGGCATCATTTTTAGGCCCGTTATTGAACATTTCAAGTTTTTAGGCTTTTTAAAGGCTTCAGAAGATGCTAATTCTATTTCAAAATTGCATTCTATACAAGTATATAAACCGGAAAACGATTTTCTTATCGTTTTGAAAAATAGTTTTGGTCAATTTCTTTAATCAGATTTTAAAAAAACTTTTCTGTGTGCAATATAAGCAAACTTATCTTGCACGCAATTTTGAAATAGGATTTGCATCTCAGATTCTTGTGAAGCATTTAAAAAGCCTAAAAGCTTTGAATGTTTAAAAACGGGCCTCAGAAGAGTAACCATAATAACAATGAAAATTAATCCAGGCAATCAAATTAAGTTTTAAAATATTTTCATGATAATCGTCAATGATCTCTGAGCATTTAAAAATATTTTATGGTAATTATTCACAAAATGGCTAAACTATTTCCTTTATTTATAAAACTCAACAAGAGTAAACAAATGTAATTTATTTGTTTAATCATTTTTCTATGGCTTTCCCCATGGTGAAACTATAAAAAAGGTTTAAAATAAAGGTCACCTTGCAGCAGTTTGGTAACATTTCCCCATGGTGAAACTATAAAAAAGGTTTAAAATAAAGTAGGGACCTTTTTGTACGCTTGGGGGTGGGGGGAGGGGGGGATGTGTTTTAGGTAAATTAATTAAATCATCTTGTGTAAGGAAATGCATTTATATTTTGAAAAATATACATTACTAACATATTCGAGTCCAGTGTTTTTTACTCGCATTTTAAAACCTTTTGATTAACAGTTTAAAATTTTCCTCAACTAAAAACGTACATACCCGATACACAACGGTGCCCTTAAACAATATTGCAAGAGAAGAAAAATATGAAAATATCGTTGTTTTACTTTTCATTTCCATCTTTGATCTCTGTTCATAAATTACAGTGAAAACCAAATTCAAATTAACAATGAATTGCTCGTTCAGAGAAAGGTTTAAAGGAAACCTGTGAATAGTGAACGGGGCTATCGGCATGTTTAAGTTCATGTTCACTTGAAACTATGTTGACATTCACTTCAAAATTGTGCCCTCAAAAAAAGGTGAGACTGTAAAGACGACTTGACGATCCTAAGGTTATATTAAATTAAACCTTCCGTCTAGAATAAAGTCTTTAAGCTTTTTTAATGATTTACTAAAGAAACAAGTGTAGAATTGCAGGGAATCAGGAATATAAGGAAACGGACAGAATAAACTCCGTTAAGTAGTCTCTGAAATCTCATCCTTTGTGGGTAACTCTGTATGAAAGCTCTATCTCTATCTCTCTTTATCTCTCTTTATCTCTCTTTATCTATCTCTCTCGATCTCTCTCGATCTCTCTCGATCTCTCTCGATCTCTCTCGATCTCTCTCGATCTCTCTCTATCTATCTCTATCTTTCTCTCTCGATCTCACTATACCTATCTCTATCTCTCTCTATCTCTCTCTATCTCCATCTATCTTTCTCTATCGCTCTATTTATATATCTCTATCTTTCTATTTATATATCTCTCTATCTCTCTATCTCTATATCTCTATATCTCTCTATCTCTATATTTCTCTCTATCTCTATATTTCTCTATCTCTTTATCCTCTATATTTATATATCTCTCTATCTTTCTATCTCTCTAACTCTCTATCTCTCTATCTCTCTATCTCTCTATCTCTCTATCTCTCTATCTCTCTATCTCTCTATCTCTCTATCTCTCTATCTCTCTATCTCTCTATCTCTCTATCTCTCTATCTCTCTATCTCTCTATCTCTCTATCTCTCTATCTCTCTATCTCTCTATCTCTCTCTATCTCTCTATCTCTCTATCTCTATATCTCTATATCTCTATATCTCTCTCTCTCTATCTCTATATCTCTATATCTCTATATCTTTATATCTCTATATCTCTCTATCTCTAACCTGAAAACGAAAATGATATGAAACTTGTCTCTGCCACTCTCCTTCAAGAACTCCTTAATCCTGGCAGGAGCAGATTCATCCATTATATCCAAACACTGGAAGACAAGTCCAGGAGAAGAACTCGCTTGTGCTCGCGATATCAGCTGGGCATCAATATCTACCCCCAGGATGTTGAGGTTCTTGACCTCCTTGTTGTACTGACTGTACAGGGCCGAGGTCAGGTTCTAAAATGTATATTTTCACAAAATCTAATTTTAGTTTTTTTAATAATCGTAAAAATCTGAATTTTAACAGTCTCACTTAAAACTTGCTATCCGTTGCTCAGTGAAACTTAACTCGACGTTTTCTCTTAGGTTGAATAATGCATATCAACCATAAAGGATTGTTCAATTTCACAATGTCGTCCTTGATCTGAAATCAGCCATTTTTTCGATTCTAGATCTAGTCGATGGTCTTATTTTCATTCAGAATTCCATTTTCTCTTCCGCCTTTGCTTCTTGTCATGTGGAATGCTATGAGTCGTTTAAGCTCAGGTTTGCGCGCTAACTCTTCCAGGTTTAGGTAGGATTTATCAGTGAAAAGCTCAGCGCCTAAAAATAAAAAAATATTTTAAGATTCGTTACAGCCCAGGAATCTGTTAAACTGTTAGTTTCAACATGAACACAAAAAAAACATAAACATAAAATTGCTTGAATTTCGTCTTTTAACTCCGAGTCAATAGTTTTATATGTAAATAAAATGAACAAAAAATCTTAACGCTCTTTTCAACCTAACTGCTATATATTTGAAGTTTTTTACCCGCTTCAAGAAGACTTTTACAAGTTTCCACATGCTGGCCGGAAATAGCGAGGAACAGACTAGTTCTACCGTTCACATCTCTGAAAATATTTCAAATTATATTTTTAAAAAAATAATGCTTGCAATTTTTTCAATTAATTCTAAATTATAACAGCTTGAAATTCAATATTTAATTATGTTTAGACAGGGGGCTTCGTGCTCATCTTGCTGATTTTTCTGCATGCCTTTTGTACATTTTGAAATTATAAAAACAAAATCTTTCGCTGATTTTTTTGGCGGATTTTCGTTTTTTAAACTCCGAATTATTTTAATACATATCTTATTTCTGAGCAGCAAATGGTTATAACTCTTCCCTGAGCCATATTGGTTAGTCCTTTTGTGAGCCATATTGGTTAGTCCTTTTGTGAGCCATATTGGTTAGTCCTTTTGTGAGCCATATTGGTTAGTCCTTTTGATAAATCGGATAAAAACCAACCAACAAAAAAGTAAATGATATGATATGCAATCCACGTTAGAAGATTTAGTATGATTTAACCTGAGATTGACTAGACCTCCTTGACCCAGAATAAAGTTGACCGTCACCAGCTGTCCTTCTCTAGCTGCACAGTGTAGTGCACTTTGTCCGTCACGGGTTTTTACATCCAAACCAAACCCCTCCTGATCATATTCGTAAAAAATATTTTTAAAATAAAAATTTCCGGGAAAGATTTTTTACGAGTTTCTCAAAAATATTAAAATCCATCCATTCAAAAAATCTCCAAATGCCTTTTCAGAGCTCGTAACTGTTGAAAGGATGGAACTAATCATCATCAGTGTAAATGAGTTGAACTAAATCTTTCAATTTTATTAGTTCCGAGTTCAACAATTCTGAGGATGCACTAATATGGAAAGTTAAAGGGACCGTTCACTTTTTTGGGTAATTTCAGGGTAAACTAAACAGC